CAAGGCGCGCGTCTTCGAAAGGTAATCGACTGCGGGCGCCGCTGCGAATTTTGTCACGCGGTTTAAAGTTTCTTCAAGCTCAAATCGATGTCTCTCTTTCTCGTGTCGCTAATGGAAGCTAGAGCTATTAGAAGTGCCCCAAAAATTGAGTACTATTTTATGGGGGGTTTTTAGCAAAATCCACTAAAATGCAAGTTGCGGGTGAACGAGACGTCGGAAGAGGGTACCGGCGAAGGGAATGTGATAGCCCTCAACAAGGTTTTACTGATGGTGAAGTCAAAATTTTAAACGCGAATAGCGGTTGAACAATGTCTTCTTTTCTTCCAACACCACTTATATATCTATGAAACTACATCTCAATCTTAATCTGATTTATAACATTGACAGATACCAATGATATCACTGACATTGGACATGGTTCGTTGTTTGACATGGTGCTTAAACTTATACTTAGTCCAAGGATAAAATTAGGACAACCTAGAAATTACATATAAATTCCTTCGAACACAGAATTTAACCTATACCTCCAATTAATAAGAGGGTTAATTAGTAAATAATAATAAAACGGCAACGGTTTAGAAATATATTGGTACAAATACTCCAAATAAAGGGAATAGAAATCCTAAACGCACAAAGTATTCTCCAAAATTATAGAAATAGTGTTCAGTCTAGACACAAACCACTTCGAGAAATACGCAACATCCGGTTAATCGCCAGAACGTAATAAGATTTAAAAACTTCACAATTAAACAGACATTGAATTTATTAATACCGCAACGCTTAACGTGTCGACCAACAAAGGTGTTTGCAAGGAAAAGGAAACAAAAGATAATCTAACATACGTATTTCAATTCACCGTATGTACGAATAACAATTCGATATGATATAATATAATATAATATAATGATATAATTGAAAACTACAGTGACCCTCAAACAAATTAGAACCTAAATGTGTGTGAGAAAATCAGTGTATCTTGACACGTGCTTTTGTAGGAAATTTAGGCTTCCACAATTTATCTTCCATTACTATCATATTTATTTCGGTTTGCCATGCTTTTTGAAATAAATGCGCACTTACGTGATTTTCATAAAAAAATTCCACAAGGGTCCACTCCCTACCTACCTCCCACCCTCTTCAATAAATTCCTAATTCTATCCCCTCATCTGCCGGCTAAAGAAAAACAATCGCAAACGAGAGACTTTTACTGACTCGCGCTCTCCACAAAAATTTCACGACCCGATCTTTATCACACCATTTATGAGACAC